CCCTTCTTTCTGAAGAAGGGTCTAGGCCCGAAACGTCAGCCTTCCTGCTCCTTTGATGTGCTTAGCCTGTTGTGTTCATCCAGCTCTACACTTTGTTATCTCAGATTCTCCAGCATCTGCAGTTCCTACTATCTCTAGGGCAGCAGGAACATTGTTTTTTCGGAAACAGTTTTTTTTCTGCGAAAGCTGTTTAGTTTTGATGTATAATGAATATTGTATCACCGCCACAATAATGCTGTCACACAGTCTCTGAGAATTAAAATCTACCAGTCAGCATTTAAAATGACAAAAGAGCCAGGCAATCCTCAAATTCTCATCTCAGGACTCAGTATCGAGTTCTATAATTTTGGGGCCTAACACTTCCTTCCATGTGTTTTACCCATGCCCACAGCCAGGTCCTGTCATGACATGGTTGTTTACAGCACAGTCAACCAACCCATTTTCACTAATCATAATCCACCATTATCTCCGATCTAGCTTTTTCCTTGCCTTACTATCAACATCCCTTTGTCTGCTTAACTATTTCCTCTCACTCTGAGCTCCACCTATCTGCTCATTCATTTGCCCCTACACCTCTGTCATCAAGATAAATACCACTTTTCTCTAGCTGCCATCTTATGAATGGACCTCTCATATGTTAGAGCTAATCTTTCTCTGTAGCTGTAACACTACATTCTACATTCGGTTTTATTACCCTGACGTACTTATGTAAGGTATGATTTATCTGGTTAGCATGCGCTTGGTACATGTGAATACTGAATCAAACCAAGTCAAACCAAATCAAATCTGAAGAACTGTCGCAAGACTCAAAATATTAATTTTGTTTTCTTTCCACAGGTACTGCCATGCCTGCTGAGTCTCTCTGGCAATTTCTGTTTTTGTCTCAAATTTTCTTTATAGCCTCCATCTGTATGATTGAATTATTACTAGAACCGACAGAAAATGGCCACAATTGACAAATATTTTCTGCAGTGTTAGTTTCCGTCACTGAAGTTAAGTGTAATACCATTATGCTACCATGGGACAAGGTTTAGCTAATGGGAACAGGTTAACTCTCTCTACATTATCTAAACCTATTACAGCATTGTATCTCCCTCAAGTTACTTTTCTCTAAGGAGAATAACCCCAGCTTCCCCAACCTGGTCTTAATGATATATGAGATACACGAGAAAATGGTAAATTATAACATGAAGCCCAGCTAATGAATAAAAGTAACTGCTTTCATTTTTAACAAGTGATTTCTAGCCATTTCATACTCAGGGTAGATAAAGACTATTCCTTACTATTTGTTTTTCCTAAGTTAAAACTTTTTTTGCTTCTCCATCTCAACAATTTAATAAAATTGAGACTCGCGTGGAAAACTTTATCATGATGGAAAACCATTTTGTAGAAGGTGTCAATGGGGAGGTCTCCATTTGGATCGGCATACTTCAGAGTTGTCATTGGAGTGTAAAGGGTGTTTGTCTGATGACGAAATGGCGGATTGTCCGAGATAATGATCCTCTTGGTGTGCTGTACAATAAAAGGAAAGACAAAACCATTTAGAAATTATATGAATTGATGTTAACTATCGTTTGCTCCTAGCTATGCGTTCCATCAATGCTCTCCCTACTCTCTGTACTGGCTTTGATTTTTGCACCCAGGTGAAAATGCTCCAAAGTGACCCTTATTCCTGAATATAATCGGGCAGCCTTGATTTTTATGGTGAGTGAAAAGGAGTGGCCAGTTGGTTAGCATTGTGTCAGACTATGTGGTAGGCTTTGCTCTATAGCACTTATGTCCATGGATATGAAATTCAGTCATGAGATAATTAAACAGCAACTACTGGATTTGTTCTGCAAGATGTAATAATATACATATATTAATATAACTTCTAGAATTTGGATTTCAAAATAGATGTAGTGGGTGTTGGTTATTTCTGTGAAGGTTTTTCTTTTGAAAACAATGTCAGAGAGTCTTTCTGAAACGTGACTAAATCCAGCATTTTTGTCAAAGAGCAGGCGACTGTGGACCCCTGTGGTGTTAATGGAAAGATGTTTACCACAGCTAGAGTAAACACACAAGGTCATTAGCTTTGTTTTCAGATGAGAAGAATCCAGGATGAGCAAGTTTATTTTATTATAATTCAATCAGAACTAACCAGTGTTGAGCTTAGAAGCTACTCTAATTTATCTCCTAGAGGAAGGATTCAGGGAACAGGTCATTTCAGCAGAAAGGTTTGGATTGTGAAACTTCAAAACCAGGAGAATTTAGTTAGAAATTCTCAAATGATTAGAACTGAGAAAGTTTAGGCTTTCAGATGTGTGAAAAGTTCATATTGACAGAATTGGAAAAGATTTATCAAGTTGCCTTCACAAGATAAAGAAGCCGTCAGGAATGTGTTAGGTAGAATCCTAAAGAGTTGAGATAGGGGTACAACTTTTCTGGACTTGAATTTCTGTAACGTATAGCGTTAGGAACTTTGTTTTACTGTGAGTTGTGGAATAATTCTGATTGTCTACTATGTTCTGACAGGTTGTTTATTTTTGTTTTTTCCTTTTGTGAAATAAACATCTGTTCTGTGCCTAAAGAAAATCTGCAGTCTTGTGTGACAATATCTCACTGACTGATCACCAAGTTAACCAGACTTGTGCAGTAGTACCATCAGCAGGGATCAAACAGGAGGAGGCCTGACATTTACTTGAGGGCACTAAAGAGGAATCCCCTGCTGTTATGGGCCTTGAAGGATACTTAAGAAATATTTTACTTTTCTGGACATCTCCTGATTTCTGTTCCCAGCAGGTTTGACATAGCTCTGCTGCCCCTAGTCCAATTTCAGATTAAATTTGGAGATCTGCTTCCAGTACTGGCATCCACATGTATAAACACAAGCTGCAGGGATCAGTCTTTGACACCTACAGTTTAGAATTGCAGTCAGGCAGATGAAGAGGGAGAGATGCAGGTAAGTCACTCATCCTATTTTGACTGCTCCTTCGCAGGTATTCTGAGTGTACAGGGAGGGCAATTAAAAGCAGGATCTATTAGTGCTCTAAAAAACCTGTAGAAATGGTTAGAATAAACAACTACTGCTTTCAGTTTTTGTTGGGAAATCTATGGTGTCCATTTTCCCTGTTATACACCATCCTGACTTGGAACTGTGTCACTGTATCTTCAGTGTCATTGGGTCAGTAACTACACTACATGGACTCCAGTAGTTTAAGAAGACAGCTCACCACCACCTTCCCAAGGGTAATTCGAGATAGTCTTTCCCTTGAGCGAACAAATAACAAAAGACATGAGCTAAAATGTTGTCAAAGTCAAGGACATGTTAAATTTCTGTTTGAAATCATGAGAAAAGAAAACATTGATTTTATTCCTTTCAAGCATAGTTCCAGTCAAATGATTTCACTTCTTATTGATTTATATAGTGTAAGCTTTGATAAGCCTTTTGTTTAATTTCTCATACCTCAGCCACGTCATCAGCAGTTTGTCCCAAGCTTACAAATATGTCCTTGTAGTTGCGCAGGTAAATGTTTGTAAACATATCTCTCGTTTCCTGGTCTGCTGCAGACAGATCCACCTTCAATCCCTCTTCATAAACCTTTTTTTCAAATTCTGTGATCACGGGGCCAGGTTCAATCAGACTGATGCTGTCAGATTAAAAGAGGAGAAGTCACTGATGAACTCCTGATAATGAATTATTTCTTAGACAGCCAGTAGTGGCTCTCACATGGTCAGAGTAACTCTTTCTCTTCAATCATTTTGCTGTCATTATTATTTTAACTGTGGCTGCTGCAGTCAACACATACCCTGGATTCCCAGGATGACAGAAGGCGAAGTGAGTAACACAGGGTAGGGGTTCACAGGGTTGGGGTCACAGGCAAAGGAAGCTGAGGGTTTGCCAGCAAGGGTAGATGGGCAGAGTGGTGAGTTGGGAATGTTGGTTCTCAGCATCCTCTCCATTCTTGATGACCAATCCTTCAATCAGGAACAGACAGTCTTTGATTGAGGAACCAACTGGCAATGGGGAGGTAGAGAGGTGGGAGGGGTAGGATAGTAGACTATGGGCCTCCCTGTCCACAATTTTCTAGTATGGCACCATCCAATTGAATTAAATACCCTTCTTCCAGCAGAAGATTCTATCTATAGAATCATAGACTTGGAACATAACTTTATAAAGGTTAAAGAGAGGCATTTATTTTGAACAAACCGTGAGTGAAAATGTCAAAAATATGGAACACTCTGCTGTGTTGCACTTTCAGCAGGAATGAGCAGTTTTGGGCCCCCTATCTAAGGATGGATGCACTGGTGTTGGAAGGTGTCCCCAAGAGGTTTATAAGAATGATCCTAGTATGAAGGGCTTGTTATATGAGGAGTGCTTGAGGATTCTTGGCCTGTTTAGAAGGATGAGGGGTTCTGATTGAAACATACAGAATACTGAGAGACCTGGATTGAGTAGACGAGGAGATATTTCCACTAGTTGGGGAGACTAAGACCTGAGGGCATAGAGTGAAGGAATGACCCTGTAGAACGAAGATGAGGAGGAATTTCACAGGGGATCAAATTTTGCCATTCCAATTCTGCAGCCCATTGTGGAATCTGATGAAAGTGGAAATTAGGTACTTTTTACTCCAATGAGTGGGCACTCTGGAATGCTGGTTTTACACTTGCGCATAGAAATGTCATCTTGCTGTTTCCAATACAATTTGGGAGATTTTGAGCAAATGACAAGTAAACATTATGCAAGTTATTGCGCCTTTTTAATAACTTAACATGTCACTCTGTAATGGGTGGCAATCAGAGTTCTATTGAGTTCAGAAATGGTTTTGATGGCAGATGGAGCTTCTGTTTGTCCCAAACATGACGTTGTCCATTGGCTCCCATCTCTAATTGTTTTCCTAGCAATTTAATTGGGAGAAAAAATCAGTGTTCAACTCAGTGTTGGGAAGATATGAGTCCAGTTATTTTCCCTGGTCAGAGCATAGATTCTGAAATGTTACGATGCAAGATGGGATATTCCATAGAGGAAGCTGATCATACGAGGGGTAATGTATTCTTAGATGTTTACCATAAATGATGTTCAAAAGTAGACAAAGGGGCAATGGTTTCTGTTCTATCCACTTCTGTGGCACCTCCACTCACCCCAACACCAAACTTACTTCCCGTGTAAGCAATCAATATGTGTCTAGTCTGGTAAATATGGCCAACACAAATTTGGATCAGGAGCTAATATCAGTGATGTACACTCGTGTTGGCAAAGTGTGACTAAAGATTTTCATAGATAATATATAACTGACAGATGAAATGGCACCACAGCTATTATAAAAACTATTTAATAATAGGAAACATAAATTATTAATTTTGTCAATGTAATCACCAAATCCATACACTGCCTGATATAATGTAGTAATTTGAATATGTTTTGCAGCATTTAAATCAGTTCCACACATATAAAAATGTAACAACTGGCTATTAATTAACTCAAAGCTATCTTTTCCCAAAGTTGGCAAAGTTGTTACCTACTTCAACTTGAATTTTATCGCTTGAATTGCTAAACTTTCACAAAATCCTTCCACTGCAAATTTTGAGGCAGCATAGATATCATTGAACAAAATACCTGCAAAAAGAAAATAGCCAAACAACTGAAATTTCTTATGAAAAATAACACCACTCAAGAAAGAGAAATTAATTCACAGGTTAAATTAAATAAAACATGGACAATGAAGAATTTGATCTCAATGGGCCTGTTAGTGAAGTGATTATATTGCAAACCATACCCTGAATTCCCATCACACTACTAATCACCACAATGTGACCCTTCTTCCTCCTCTTCATATCTGGCAGGATTTCTTTAAGGAGTCTAACAAGTCCAAAGAAGTTGGTGTCCATAACGTACTTCATCTCCTCCAAGCTCTGGCACTCAATCGGTCCAATCATCCCCATTCCAGCATTGCTAACTGGAAGAGATAATGCACACAGAATTATAAAATCACAAGTTTCAACTCGGTTTTTGTTTTTAACCTAGCAAAGCTGATTTATTATTAAATTAATGTAAATATGTGTACATTCATACATTTGCAAAGCTTAAATGTCCTTGTTAAATCAGCATTGAGATTTTCATCTTCACTCAATTGTAAGCCCCTTCATTTTCAGAATAATGCAAACTAATTCTTGAGGGATGGTGTGCTCTGACATCATGCAGTCTGCCTTTCTATCCCTTCCACAAAAATACTTCAGCAAGTTTACTTTTAATCTGTTTATTTTTCATGCAACCATTACATTTTTTTAAATCACCTTGTTCAGACAAGCCATGACACAGGGTTTGAACCCAGCGACACTACCATTGTACCACAAGACCCCTTGTAACTTAAATTTCATTTAAATTGCATATATCTATGTACTTTGCATGCAACTTTCTGCTTTGATCCCTTTATCAACTGTGGCTCAATGGTAGTACATTCATCTCTTGACTCATAAAGCTGTGTGTTCAAGCCCCACTGCAGAGACTGAGCACAAATTCTAGCCTAAAACACATTAAGTTAGAGAGTTTAGAAGAGATTTACCAGGATGTTGCTGGGTATGGAAAGTTTGAGTTATAAAGATAGGCTGGGACTTTTTTCACTGGAATGGGGGAGGTTGCAAGCTGTCCTTATCGAGATTTATAACATCATGAGGGGTTTAGATAGGGTTAACAATAGGTGTCTTTTCCCTTGGATGGGGGATTTCAAGATTAGGGGGCATATTTTTAAGGTAAGAGGAGAGAGATTTAAAAAAGACATGTGGGGCAAATTTATTACACAGAGAGTGGCTCACATCCTGAGGAAGTTGTGCATGTGTGCACAGTTACAATGTTTAAAAGACATTTGAATAAGTACACGAATAGGAAAGGCTTGGAGGGATATGGGCCAGGGGTAGGCAGGAGGGACTAGTTTAGTTTGGGATTATGTTTGACATGGACTGGTTGGACCGAAGGGTCTGTTTCCGTGCTATAGACTCTATGAGTCTATGACACTTTTACTTCAATAGATTCACCTGAGGGCAGGCTGCCCCAACACCTCTTAAAATTTCAATGGGTAGGTGTGGTGGGAATCCATCTGCTGGATTTTATATGAGCCTGCCTTCAAACTAGACAGGATGGAAGTGTAAAACCCTGTCCCTCCAGCGCTGATAGTATTGTGTAAAAACTAAAAGAACTGCGGATGCTGTAAATCAGGAACAAAAACAGATGTTGCTGGAAAAGCTCAGCAGGTCTGGCAGCATCTGTGAAGAAAAAAAATCAGTTAACGTTTCGGGTCCAGTGACCCTTCCCTCATTCTGAGGAAGGGTCACCAGACCCGAAACATTAACTCTGATATTTTTCTTCACAGATTTTCTCTCAGCAGAATATAAAAACGCTGTCTAAAATGGCTCAACATGTGCCATTGCAACAGTAAGGAGTACACTCTCCCACAAATGTAGCCACAGTTCCTGCAATGTCACTGTCATCAACACTGCAGGGAGTTGCTCCATCAAAGAACACGGAAACTGAACTGATTTAAACAGTTTGTTTAAAATTTAGATTTACCTTAAAGATAAGATGAAGTCACCACAGTCTTACCAGACCATAGGGCTGTTCTCTTGCTAGACAGAGATGACTGGTGGTGGTTTAACGTGAGGGTCACTGTGCCTCGGGGACGGGAGGTGTTGAGAAGGATAGCCTTATTTTGGTAAAGTTAGCTGGTGTGGAATTGAACTGGTGCAGTTGGCATTGCTATGCATTGCAAACCAACCAACTGAGCTAACTGACCCCTACATGTAAGGTACATTGAGGGTGGTAATGCTGTGCAGGGATGTGGGGATATGGATAATAGAGCTAGACTAGATAATAGAGCAGGTCCTGGCTTGATGGGTTGAACAGTCTCCTTCTGCATCACAATAACACTGTGATTCTGAGATACATGTTTTGATCACTGAAGTGTTCAGATCGTGTGGATAGTGCAGAGCAGGGCAGAAAGCAATGCATTGAAGGATCCAATGAGAGGGGCTTGGTGAGTGAGTTAGCTAGGGGAGTGGCAGGCAGTTGGCAGTGAGTGAAAACATTAGGGGAGTGGTAAGCAAGGAGGCAAGGGGAGCAGCATCCCATTCAGACCCACCCCATCCCTGTAACCCTGGGCTAACCCACCTAACCTGTACGTCCCTTGGAAATTTAGCACAGCCAATTCACCTAACCTGCACATCTTTGGACTGTGGAAGGAAACTACAGCACCCAGAGGAAACCCACGCAGACATGGGGAGAATATGCAAACTTCACACAGACAGTCTCCCGAGTCTGGAATCAAACCTGGGTCCCTGGCACTGTGAGGCAGCAGTGCTAACCACTAAGCTGAGCCCAGACTTCCAAACAGTCCTTTTCCCATTTCTGTCCACATTCAAAAATACAGAAAAAAAAACAAACAGTCTTTACTGTATACATTCACTTGTGGTGTGATGGGATAGGAATAGGAACTCTGAATGTTTCTCCCCTCCTCTTTGATGCAGAGACTTGGAGATGTTCCAGCTGACATCACCTAGCTCAGCACAGATACAAGGCTAAATCAGAAATCTCTCAAGCTTCACACTTCATTGCTACAGCTGGGAGTGACACTTGGCTCATTGGCCAGAAGGCAGTTTGTGTTGGGAGGGTACGTTCACATAGCCGCCTGGAATTTGGCCTAGATTCCAATTCTGCTCAATTCTCACCATCTTTACACCATACCCTCTAAACAAGAGATGGGTGTGGGCTTTTATATCAAGGAGAAATGTTGGAGTGAAGGTGAGAGATTCTGCAAATGCCTTTTCTGAAATATTGCCCCAGAAGAACACCACTATCTTCTCCAGAGCTCAGTGGTTCCAGTAGGTGCTGAAGATAGTGCAAATGAACTCAATGGGCAGAGTTTTACCAGACTCTGAGTGAAGTGGGCCATGATGAGATGAGTGTTACTATTGGGTGAGATGTTTGCTGGTGCCATTTCAACATTGAGATCATCTCACCATATCTAATAGGCTTTTCCCAAGTGGTGTGGTGAGATTCTTGATAGCCAGTGGTGATTTCCCAATTAACAATCATTATTGCTTAGTAAATGCATTGCTAAGAGTCCAACTCAACATGGGCTGTGATCCTACCAAACTCAAGATACGGACTAGCCATCAGAAAAACTAAACATGTAAACCCATAACCAAAGCAAGTTCTTGGAACGTTTAAGGTGTCATTTGCTCCAAAAAATCTCCATGCTGGACACCAAGAACCAACATCTTAGGCATGCTCTATGGACACCAACCAAACGCATCCCATATCCAAGGACCATTGGCGTCCGACATGTGCCACCCCTCTATGAACCATCATGGTACTTGTCCGAACCACTTACAGGATGCTCCTGCACTTTAGTGCTGCACCTTGGGCTGCACCGGCAACTCTCAATGCAGAGCTGTAACACGGGCGGTATGCACTCAGGGACACACACACCCAGTTCACGGACTGGACCAGGCTGCGTCTCTGACCTCTTCGCTCACAGTCATTAATGCTCACTCACTCAGAAATCTGGATGCCTTGCCTTTTCTCACCTTGCACCTTCAGCCAGAGATACCAGGCTCATTTTACGACCGGGTTCCGTGCCGTTTAGTGCAGACACAAAGCTTGAAGCTTGCCATGATTGTCAGCAGGCCTCAGAAATACAAGGGGAGTAGACTTCGCTCAGAGAATCCCGACACTGTAAGTCAAGCACAGCTCTGCGTATTCCTCTAGAAAGCTGAAACTGCTGTATCTGGGTGGCATCCTTGATCCAGTCTGGCATGGTCTGGTATTGTACCTTCTTCTGCTGATCCTGGGGCGAGATTGCACCAACCTGTTCAGTAGGACCTCTAAGGTTCAGCCTGAAAGGAAGGTGCTGATTTGATCCTGTCTGCCATGACCAGGACAAATGGCAAAAACTGAAGCTCCAGACTGACAGTGCTTGTTTGGGTGCACAGCAAGTTTTTAAAGGTGGCATGCGTGGCAGTGATGCCAGTCAATTCCAGGAAGTCAAGTGAGCGGTAAACTGGTCCATGTGCAGTACGTGGTAAAATAGAATGGAAATCAGACTTGGTAAAGGCTGAAGCACCAACTAATGCGACAAGTTTGTTAAGAAACAGCGAGGAAACTCGTTCAGTGCCTCGACAAGAATTATTCCACCACATCCAACGTAACTCACACTGAGTCAATTGTTCCCTAACTTACAATAGACCTTGAGGCCAGTTCATTCCAAGCAGCATGGACCAGTGATTAGGATTAACACATGTAATGAGTTTATTTTAAGGTTAGGATTAAGATTAATATGAAAAGTAGACTCAATTTGATGTTAGCATTAGGCTGTCGAGAATTAGTTTTGTTTGGGATTCTCTCTCCTCCAGATCCCCCTCCTATCCTCTTGCAATCTCTCCCTCCATGTACTTTTCCATCTTATATCGCCTTTCTACTCATATCATATCTGTGCACATAAAGCCAACTCTGAAATTCCTTGTATCATTCTCCACGCGCATCCCACTTTCCTCTCCCAATTCGACTTGCTTCTGTCTTGGAGAAAGCTCTCTCATAATTTGCTTACAACCACACTTTCAAAATCCCTTCACAACTCCATGCACTCTTCATGCAGTGACTGATCAACCCATCACACACTCACCTCCACCATCCACGTCCAAATTAATATCCTGTCCTGTATATTTCTCCAGGTGCGATCCTTATCATGCCTCCTTTAAGCCCAAGGCAGAGGATAGGAGGCTAACTTGAACAGATACAGCAGACAACTGGGTTAGTCATTCACTGACAGATCTGGCTGAACCATATAAAACATGTTCAGGTCCTGCTTTTGTCTGCTTAAACCACCAACTATTCCAGGGACCCCCAGAATAAGTATAAAGATCACCTCCAGGTTCTTTTCTCTGCTGCAAACAGTTGTCTTAAATCCTTTCACTCCTCCACTTCCATCTTAAACAAATACAAGGAGCTCATGGATTTTGTGGTCTCTAAAACTGAGATCCTCCACTCAGCTACCTCCATTATCTCCTTACCTTCCCGTTGCCCACCACAGCAACCTTCCTTTAAGGATCCTTTGTGTCCTAACCCCACAATTGTCCCCTTCTCTACTTGCTCCTGCATTTCCGTGCTATCCTCTCCAAATTCAACTTATCAAGAGGATCCATCTCCAGCTCTAACTAATTTGCTCACTATCCAGTATCCCATCCTGGTTCCCATGTTAGCCAATACTTTTAATGGTTTTTACTCCTATAAACTGTTCACCTCTCCTTCAAACTGCCTTCATTGTCCTTTCCTTAATTCTGCACCCTCTTTGGCCTTGCAAACCATTACTCTATCTCCAACTTTTCTTTCTTCTCCAAAGTCCTGAACATGCTGTCAATTTTCAAATCCATTCCCACTTTTCCCAGAAATCTATGTTTAATCTCCTCCAATCAATTTTCCACCTGTGTCACAAAAACAAAACAAAGTACAGCAAATTCTGGAAATCCAAAACAGAAACAGAAATTGTTGCAGAAACTCAGCAGGTCTGGCAGCATCTGTGGAGAGAAAGCAAAATTAATGTTTAGTGACCCTTCTTCAGAAAGGTCTGAAGAGCCAGACCGGCTGAGTTTCTCCACGGAAACAGCTCTTATGCTAAATGACATCCCATGTGACTGTGGCAAAGTTAAACTATTCCTCCTCATTCTTCACACTCTTTCTGCAGCCTTTGATATGGTTGATCATGCCATCTTGCTCCAGCACCTATCCACTGTCACATTGTCCACCTAACACACTCTGTCTCTTTAATCATACTGAATCCAAGAAAGGCATTGCTGCAATTTAAAATTCTCAAGCTGTTATTTCTAAATCCCCTACATGGCTTTACTCCTCCCTGTCTCTGTAATCTCTTCCAGTCCTTCAAAGATTCTGCTCCTGTAACTCTGCTGCAATTTCTCTGGCACTGAAAGGGGCTGTCTGCACCTTGTAGTTTAAATCACCCAAAATGCATTGATTGAAGAGATTGTTTAAATAATAAAACAATGGTTAAAAGCTCAGTGAGCTTTTTATAAACTTCACAGTACAGCCTTGATTGCTCTAGACTTTCCTTTCCTTTAATCAAATTATCACAATTTCCTTAAATGATGTCAGAATTTATAATCTTTGACAATTTACTTAAAAGAGATTTATTACTGAAATTACCAGCCAACATTTTGTCTGTTCTGTGGATCTGCAATTATGGTATGTATTCTGAAATTCTAATCTTTTGTTTGTGTGACAGTGGATTTTCTGGGCTGAATTTACAACTACAGTGTTAAATAATTAGAGCTGATGAATTTTATTCAACTTTGGTCACATATGAGGGCTGAAGGTATTAAATTATGACAATAGTTAGGATAGTTAGGTTTGTATACACTAGATACAGAAGATTAAATGACGATCCAATTGACTGGTTTAAGATGATTAGCGGATTTGATGTATGCACAATACAGTCCACCCAGGGAGTCTGTGTTGTTGTGGCAAGATGAACTTTTACATAGATCCAAAGAAAATAGGAGCTGGAATAAGCTAATTGGCCCTTGTAGCCTGCTCCGCCACTTAGTATACTGTTCGGTATCCTGTTCTCACTTTCTTCACATAACATTGATATAACTCCTTCTTGAAAGCATTCAATGTCTTGGCCTCAAATACTTGCTGTGACAGTGAATGCCACAGGTTCACCATTCTCCGAGCAGAAAAAATTCTCCTCATCCCTTACCTGCATGTTGTAGTCTGGAGCTAGAGATACTGATGGTCAAGACTCCAACATTCTGTCTAGAATGTAACTAACCAGGAATCTCTCCCATTCTTACTGCCTACATCAAAGGATTTGCTGGTTTATACAGTTAGGTCACATTATGAATGTGCCTTCCTTGATCAACAAGTCCTGAAGTAGGGCTTGAAACTAGAGCTTCTGGCTTAGAGGCAGGGAATTAGCCATTGCATGACCTAATCTTCTGAATTAATATTCTCTTGTAGGGATTGGGGACAGGGAGACTCAGGGCAAGGTGAGACAATCTTAAAATAACAGCTAGGCCCTGGGGTAGTGAATGTCAAAAATCAATTCTTCCCATGAAGGGTAGTGGGAACCTGGAACTCTTGACCTCTGGAAAAACTTCTGAGCCTTGGTCAACTGAAATTTTTCAAACTGAAATTGATTGAATTCTGTTATGTATAGGTATCAAGGGAGATAGAACCAAGATCAGTAAATGGCATTGAGAACACTAGTATGGCCCAGAGAAAGAAGTTAAAATCTCACAACCCCACCATCTGGGGAACTTTAATGTAATTAAATCATGAATCTGGAAATAAAAACCTCATCAGTACTGGTGACCATGAAACTAGCATTGTTGTAAAAACTCATCTGGTTCACTAATGTCTTTTTGGGAAGGAAATCTGTCATTCGTACCCTGACTGGCCTAAAAGTGATTCCAAACCTGTAGTAATTCATTCTGAATGTCCCACGAATAAGGGCAAGAATTAACCCATACAGTATCTGCCTCAGCACGGGACATTTCAGCTGCTGATAATGCACCTACCAGAGCATTAAGATTGATGAAGTATCAGATGAAAAGCCAGTGACGGCAGGATAAGATTCACAGGGAGCAGGAGAGAGAGGTGACAGTGCGAGTCGGAGGCTAGGGCATGGGATGAACATTCAGGCCCAATATTGGGTCCTCAGTCAAGTAATGAATGCCTGACAATGAAGGATAACACCCTCCTCCCAATACCCCTACCCAAGAGACTGCTGACAAATTCACAGAGAATTTTGTACAGTCTTCAGGTGGTTTGGAAAGGCAGCCCAACTCACAGTTAATCCCCGATTCAGCACTGTTTTAACTGCTGATGCTGGGAGTTCAATATGGTGCTCCCAGCCAATTCTCCTTGACCCCACCAGCATCATCCTCATTCTTAATTCTGCCCAATGTACTACGGCTGAGACTGCCATTTACCACCAAGAGCATCATGATGGCTTTACAACAGATGGAGTTGACCAATCCTATAGTTTCCTTTCTGGGCTATTGCATGAGGTGAGAAAATGAACACGAGGGATGAATCTATTTGACCGTGCCCTTGGCGATCTACCTGGCATAAGTGCATCCATCTATAACAGTTTTGGGAGGAGTGATCAATAAGCAAGAAGTCCCATCTTCACACTGCAAACACCCTCCATCATGTTGTGTGGCTCTACCACTGCATTAAATGAGACAGAAACAGATCTCGCAGCTCAAATCTGGGCAACCAGGAGACACCATAGGCATCCACTGCAGAGCTGTATTCACAATTTCCACATTCTAAAAGCTTAATGAGAAAGTTACTTCCTCCTGAATTCTATACTGAGTTTATTTTCTCCACATCCAGCCTAACAAATTACTTCCGAATCATTTTAAGACTAGGTGTGCTTACCGAGTACATCAACTTTCCTGTTGGGAATACTGTTAATACAGTCACGGATTGACTTTTCGCAACAAACATCTAATTGTTTAATCTCCAGTGTTTTGCCCAGTGCACTTCCGGCAGTATCCACGAGATCTTGCTTCTTATCCAGATTCCGCATGGTGGCATAAACTGCGAATGAATTTACAAATAATGCAAATACAAACAGCAGGTACAGGTCACAGCTTCCTCGTGAGACAAAGCTCTAAAATACTAGGTTACCAAAATATATCCAGCACATTTGATACTTTTAATGTTAGGAGTGATGGCTTCTTGTAAAGATTATTATGTCTCAGAAATGCAAACAATTTCCTGTAATCTTTTGCCTGCAGCTTGAATTGACTGTCTTAGTCTACAGTCGGGCTAATACATCAATATAAACTGCCAACGATTAGAGATTTGCATTCCTTCTGTATTATTCCCTTACACTGAGGTACACTGACACATAAAATGTAAATCAGCTGCAATGACAGGATCATATATGGTTTTTCATTTTGTACTCTAGTAGGTGTGAACATAAATTTTCAAAAGCATCTGAAAAAATCCCAGTCAGTAACTTCAGATGCTTTATAGTTTCCACGTTGTAATGGAATCTTCATTATTTTTCACTCAATTCCTGCAAAACTTCTCACTCCCAAACCCTGTGTTGAGCTCTGTTCTTTTCCCTCTGCCTTGCCCTTCACTTTATCCCATTTACCTCTGCTTGTACTCTCCCTCCTATTTTTGTTCATGTTTCCCCCCACTTCACACTCTATGACTCTATCCCGCTTACTAATCCTTTTCCTAGTTCTTTTTCTATCTTATCTATATTTTCAACCATTCTGCACTAACATTCTCTCTATTCTTGCCTCTATTACTCTACCACACGACATTCCCTAACATTGTCCAAACTTTTTCCGTCCTTTCTACTCCTGTTCGGGTTAAATGTTTTGAAGTTGGTTTGTACCTCTCCTTCTCCCTGCTTTCTGTTCATAATGTTGTGGCTGTCTCTCTGAGAGACAAACCTTTGTGCTTGAAACTCACCCATAAATCTTTTCTTATCATCCTTGGCCAGTTTAGAGGCGATGGCCAAGCCAATTCCTGAAGAGCAGCCAGTAATCAAGACAGTTTTTTGAGCCATTCTGTGAGTTGTGTTTCTTCTCCCAGTGAAGAGAAATTATCCAGGTATGAGTCAGCCCAGAGCCCATTTTATCTCCAGCGAGCCTGACGCAGTGCTCACCGTGGTTGACATTCTGTGATCAGAGGGATAATCTCTGAAACAGATGGCCAGCACAGGAAAGCTTTGACAAACTAAGCACTTTACAAAGCATCACAGGCAACAAAATTCTTTGATAATGCACATGCTCGTGCAAGTTCAAATGCAAACTACAGCAGAGGTTGGAAGTTTGGAATTAAAACAAAAACATATCCAGGACAATCTGTTAACTTTTCGGGTCAGTGATCCTTCATCTGAAATGTTGGGTTGGATTTTAACTTACCTGGTCCTTCACAGGCAGTGGATGGGGGTGAGGGGAGTGGGTTATATCAGTGGAATGCGGGGGAAGCCAGAAGCCAGGATTTTACCTCCGAGATATGTTATCAGGTTCCCTGCATGGATGCCAATCTGAGTGACAGGCTTGGTATCCACTTGGATGGGGAACATTTCTGAGGAGACCATAGAGGCAGGTATGGCCATACTTTGATTTATTCTGTCATGAGATGTGGGTATCACTGGCTGGCCAGCATTTATTGCCCATCCCTAGTTGCCCTTCAGAAAGTGGTGGTGAGCTGCCTTTTTGAACCACTGCAGTCCAGCTGCTGTGGGTTGACCCGCAATGCCACACAATTTAAAGTTTTATTTGATTTTAACTGTGGGTGGCAGTGTTTAACCTCAGAAACCTGGCAGATAAGACCAGGCAAGGACAGTAGGATTGAGGAGATAAGTCTTTTTCTATGTACCTGCTGGATCCATTGTGCCTGTATAATGAAGGTCCTGCAATTGATCACCCATCTGGAACCACTCTAACGCTCCCAACAACTGCACTCTGCCTGATTCAACTCCTACTCATGTGAATCCACTATTGCTTCCTGACATGATTCCCCAGAAGCTCTCTGATTTACCACCCTACCCCCGAGCCTCTGACTTCAACATTTTCATTCCAAACCTTCAGATTCTAGGGCCTTGGATTTCCCAGCCTCACCTCCAGCATTCCATCCCCAACCCTTGATCCAAAGATTGAAATAATGAAAAATAAACCTACAGGGGTGTCTGCCTGCATACCAGAACTGCAGGAAAGCTGTTCAGCCTGCTCACGGAGTTCCCATCAGCATTCCACACTGAGGAACACCTTGAGCATCAAATGGACAAACTCTTCTCATGTCGGTAAAGAGTTTGGTTTGATCATGAGCATCAAGAAGACATATGTCCTGATCCAAGATCTTACCATGTTGCTACCTGACCGCATCCCCATCATCTGTTAGCATTGACAATGTGATGCTGGAGGATGTTGCTAGCTTCATGTATCCAGGCTTCACAGCTCCCAGCGATCTGTCACATGGTGCTGAAATCACAAAAACTGCAGCTGTTATATCCAAGCTGAGTAAGAGAGTGTGGAATAACAGTAACCTGAGAAAAACCACCACAAGCCGGTGTCTCCAGCACCACTCATTTATAGCAGTGAGACCTGGAGAACATAATGCTAGAGGAGAAAAGATTGAAGGCTCCCCCGCCTCCCACTTTGGTAAGACTAGGACATCAACTGAGAGATCATGGAGCTTGCTCATTCCATCAGCTTACACTCATTATCAGAAATGGGCCAGAAGATCGGGTTCCAGTCTCAGGTGGCCTGGAGGTACAGAAATCGTAGAATTCCTACAGTGTAGAAGCAGGCCATTCAGGCCATCAAGTCCACATGGACCCTCCAAACAGCATTCAACCCAGAGGAACTCTCTACCCTATCCCTGTACCCTTGCATTTCCCATGGCTAATCCACCTAAGATTTTGGAGTGGATTTGTAGCTTGGGTTGTGGGTGTTGAGGTTGGTTAGCTCACCGAGCTGGTTTGTTGTTCCGCAGATGTTTCATTACCCTGCTGGGTAACATCATCAGTGCAGCCTCCCCTTCATCGGGGGCTGCACTGATGATGTTACCCAGCAGGGTAATGAAACATCTACAGAACAACAAACCAGCTCGGCGAGCCAACCAACCTCAATAATCCACCTAATCTGCACACCCCTGGACACTGTGGGCAATTTAGCGTGGCCAATCCACATAACCTGTACAGCTTTGGGCTGTAGGGGGAAACCAGAGCACCCGGAGGAAACCCACGCAGACATGGGGAGAATGTGAAAACTCCATTTGGACTGTCATCCGAGAGTGGAATTGAACCTGGGTCCCTGGCACTGAGAGGTAGCAGTGCTAACCACTGTGCCACCCAAACAGGCTGATTAATAATATCTATGCTCATTATCAAGTCAACAAAGCTCAGCATTAATTCCTCAGATAGATGACAGCCATAACTGCAAAGACCTTCTCTATGATGAACTGGCAGTTGAGTTACCAGCTGCTGGGTACCGAGATGTTGAGTAGAAGGGCACCTACAAGTGAGGATGAGGGTGTCAAGCATTGACACTGACAAGAGGAAACAGTCGCTGATAACTGTAGCCTCTGGAAACTGATTGTTTGAAATGACTTTGGAAGTGGTGAGCAGAAACAAAAAGCTCAGCTGGTCAAGAAGAGGGTCCAGGAAAAAAAAGACAGAAACTAGTTTTTCTCTGCAGGAAATGCACCAGAGGCTGGCAGAGTGAGTTCCTGAGTTAATGTTTAACACTGTCAACCAATAAGCCACAAACAGTCATCTCACAAGATGGAAGGCTGCCAAAGAATGGATAGCAACATTTGCAATTACACATTTACATACTGTGCCTATCATCAGTTAAACAGCAGCCAATGTCCAATCTTCTATGAAAGGAAATATATATTAAATTCAAATGTAACGAAGGTGAAATAATAAATGCTGTCCTGTAAAAGCTTACTGAGGATTATTTGCATCATATTTTGTATAATTAAAATTACAGAAACAGGTCATTCAGCTAAATGAGTCTATGTTGCTGCTTAAGCTCCTGATAAGTGCCCTCCTGCAGCTCTTCACCAAACTCCATTAATAATGGTCATAAAGTCAGAGGTCTGCAGCACAGAAAAAGCCCTTCTGCCCATCATGTATGTACCATTCAGAAACAAATCCTAACTATTCTAATTCTATTTACTAGCACCTAGCCTCTAGCCCCGTATGCCTTGATGTCGTTTCCTGTCTTCTCCTTGCTCACTGATGCTTCTGCTTAAGTGCATTGATTTTATTCATTTCCACTACTCCTTGTGCAACCAGTCATTATGGCCCTGAACCACACAGGAAAATGAAGGTCAATCGACCAGGAGGACATTAAGGGAACTATAAACATCCTTGGTCTAGCCGCTGCCATGGAAGTTGGAATCAGCCATAGCTCCTGATTCTGGTCACTTATGAAGCCGTTAAGGAATAGAAACAGGAGCAGGTCTCTTGGCTCTTGAGCTTACTCTACCATTCAATAGGATCATGGCTGATCCAAAGTCCCTCACATCCACTTTCCTTCCCCATAACCCTTGAGTCCCCTATTGATCAATAATCTCACACACGCTTAAGTATATGCAGGGAATCTAGCCCCACAGCTCTCTGTGGAAAGGAGTTTGAAAGACTTTTAAACCTCTGAGAGAAGAAATTCCTCTTCATCTCAGTCTTCAATTGCACCTCTTAATTCTGTGACTATGCCCTCTGGTCCTAGACGCTTGATAGTTAACACCCTTTCAGCATTTACACTGTCAAGCCAAGTAAGAATCCTATATGCTTCAATAAGTTCGTCTTTCATTCTTCTAAATTCCAATGAGTCCCAACTGATTTAATCTTTGCTTGTAAGACAATCCCTCCATACCAGGGATCATTCCAGTGAACATTCTCTGAACTGCTCCAATGAAATTAAACCTTTTCTTAAATAAAAGGACCAAAACTACTCACAGTACTCCTGATGTGGTCTCACCAGCAACTTGCACAGTGGCAGTAAAACGTCCTTACTCTTAAACTCCAACCCCCTTGAAATAAGGGCCAAATTTCGTTAGCCTTCCAGTTGAAATGTTGTACCTGTGTGCTAGCTTTCTGTGTTTCATGCACAAGAACCTCCAAAGTCCCTTTGTGTTGCAGCTTTCTGTGTTATTTCTCCATTTAAATAGTAATCTGTTCTTTTGTTCTCCATTCCAAATGAACTACTTCACGTTTACCCACATTATACTTCATTTGCCATCTTTTTGCCCATTTACTTAACCTAGCAGTACCTCTCTGTAAACTGCTTGTATCCTTCTTGCAGATAGCCTTTCTATTTATTTTTGTGATAGCAAGGTGTAGAGCTGGATGAACACAGCAGGCCAGGCAGCATCAGCATGTGGGGTGATTCATTTTGGAAGGACAAACTTGAAAGCAGAATACAGGGTTAACGGAAAGATTCTTGGCAGTGTGGAGGAGCAGAGGGATCTTGGGGTTCATGTCCACAGATCCCTGAAAGCTGTCACCCAGGTGGATAGAGTTGTTAAGAAGGCGTATGATGTGTTAGCTTTCATTAATAGAGGGATTGAGTTCATGAGCCGTGAAGTTATGCTCCAGCTATACAAAAGCCTGGTTCGGGCACATCTGGAGTATTGTGTCCAGTTCTGGTCGCCTCATTACAGGAAAGATGTGGAGGCATTGGAAAAGGTGCAGAGGATGTTGCCTGGAATGGAGGGAAGGTCTTACGAGGAAAGGTTGAGAGAGCTAGGGCTTTTCTCTTTTGAACGACGAAGGATGAGAGGTGACTTGATAGAGGTGTACAAAATGATCAGAGGTATAGATAGAGTAGACAGCCAGAGACTTTTTCCTAGGTTGGCGGTAGCTATTACGAGGGGGCATAGTTTTAAAGTGAGTGGAGGTAGATATAGGGGAGACATCAGAGGTAGGTTCTTTACTCAGAGAGTGGTCGGGACGTGGAATGCATTGCCAGAGAGGGTAATGGAGTCGGCCTCATTAGGGGCATTTAAGCGGCTATTAGATAGGCATATGGATGATAGCATAAGGTAGGGGTGGAGGTTAGATAGACCTTAGGATTAGGGTAAAAGTTCGGCACAACATCGTGGGCCGAAGGGCCTGTACTGTGCTGTACTGTTCTATGTTCTATGTTCATCAGAGAAGCAGGAAAGCTGACATTTCAGGTCTGGACCCTTCTTCAGAAATGGGGGAGGGATAGGGGTCTCTGAAATAAATAGAGAGAGGGGGAGGCAGTGATAGAAGATGGTTAGTGGAGCAGATAGGTGGGGAGAAGACAGACAGGTCAAGGAGGCAGGGATGGAGACAGTAAAGGTGGGTGTAGGTAGGGAGTTGGGATGGGGGTTGGTCAGTGAGGAGGGAGGGGTGGGTAGGTGGGAGGGAAGATGGACGGGTCAAGAAGGTGGGGATGAGGCTGGTAGGTGAATGTAGGTAGGAAGTGGGGGTTGGTCAGTGAAGTGGGAGGAGCGGATAGGTGGGAGAGAAGACCGACAAGTCAAGGAGGCAGAGACGAGAGCGGGGCTGGTCCTGGGACGAGGTCAGGGGTGGGGAGATTTTGAAGCTCGTAAAGTCAACATTGAGACTATTGGGTTGTAGGCTCCCAAGGCAGAATATGAGGTGCTGTTCCTCCAGTTTCCGGGTGACATCGTTGTGACACTGGAGGAGGCCCAGGATGGACATGTCATCCAGGGAGTGGGAGGGGGAGTTGAAGTGGTTCGCGACTGGGAGATGTTGTCATTTGTTGCGAACCGAGCGTAGGTGATACACAAAGCAGTTTCCAAGCCTCCGCTTGGTTTCCCCAATGTAGAGGAGGCCACATTGGGAACAGTGGACACAATAGACCACTTTAGCGGATGTGTAGGTGAACATCTGTTTAATGTGGAAGGTTTTCTTGGGGCCTGGGATGGAGGTGAGGGGGTAGGTGTAGGGGCAGGTGTTGCACTTCCTGCAGTTGCAGGGAAAGGTGCTGAGGGTGGTGGGGCTAGTGGGGAGTGTGGAGTGGACGAGGGAGTCACGGAGTGAGCAGTCCCTCCGGAAGGCAGATAAGGGTGGGGAGGGAAATATCTCCTTCGTAGTGGGGTCAGATTGCAGGTGGCGGAAATGGAGGAAAATGATGCGTTGCATCCGGAGGTTAATGGGGTGATACGTGAGGACAAGGGGAAATTCTGTCTTTGTTTTTATTGTGGGGAGGGGGTGTGAGGGCTGAGGTGCGGGGAACGCAAAAGATGTGGTCGAGGACGTTTTCAACCACTGTGGAGGGGCAATTGCGGTCCTTGAAAAACAAGGACATCTGGGATGTCCAGGAGTGGAATGCCTCATCTTGGGAGCAGATGCAGCGGAGGCAGAGGAATTGGGAATAGGGGATCACG